AAGGCAGCCGTGTCGTAATCTTCTATCGTGCCAGATGTTGTATTCTTGGGACTTCCACGCCGCGGATCAACGTGACTGTGTCGTCCTGGCATCCAACATCGCGCTAGAACGCCATTCCTGGAATGTCAACAACGCGACACAGCGTGACTGTCGCGTCCTGACAGTCTTAAGTCGTGCAAGACCGCGACTGCACTTGTCCGCTGGGCCCTCGGATTGGAGCATTACGATTCTGTGACACGAATCTTTAAAACCGATGTGCGCGTCGCACAGGCGATAAAGACATCTTGAACATGAGCCGCCCTCCATTCTGGAAGCTGTTGCAGACTTCCGAGACGACTGTGCGCGACGCTGAAGCAAAACCAGCATGCTTCAGATCACCCGCTCTCCGCCCTTGAAGCTGTTCCAGGCTTCGAGACGAATATACGCAGGCGAGAGCCACATGTTGAAATCAACCCGCCTTCCATCCGTGAAGTTGGTACAAACTTTTAAACGACCCGGCCTCCATCTGTCACCTTGTTGCAATTTTTTAATATGCAGGGTCATACGCGGTGAGGACGTAGCAGGCGAAACGCCTGGCCCGCCCGACCGGCGCGTCTGAATGTGCGACAAGGAGGAGGAAAACGAAGAGGGGGAGGAGGAGCAGGAAAAGGGGAGGAGGAGGAGGAGGAGGAGGTTGAAGGTTGAGGAGGAGGATGAGGAACAGGAGCAGGAAAAGGATAATTATAGTGATGTATTCAAGAAAAATTATAAGAGCAGTGAACATCATACTAATGCCGCGAAAACAAATAATAGCATTCATATTGTCAAGAGGAGCACGCACAATAATAGAGAGGGCAATCATAATACGAATGCGAATAAGACTACGAACAAAATTATTCAACATATTAAGAAACAGACGATAATGGCAAGAAGCATCTTCGGAATACGAACAGCAAACATATGATTAGTGAGAAAACAAGAGGTAGTAATATAATAAGACGAAGAATTACTAAAAGGAATGAATGCGAAACTACTACAACAACCAATACTACAGCAAGAAGACTAATTCTACTAGTAATAGTAGTGGGAACATAATGAAAGAACGACGAGTATGAATAATAATACACATAATAATGCGATTGATGAGAACACGAAACATGATAACACTAAACATGTATTAATCATATTGTAGATTATGAAGAAGAATGATACGATCAGCCGTACTAATCGTACTAATAAGAATCCGACTACTACGAATACTAGTGCCAGTAGTAGTAACAATACTGATACTACTATTAGTACGACTAATTAATGATACTAGTCGTAGTAGTATTATCACTACTTCTACTACTACTACCAGTACTGCTGCTACTACTACTATTACTACTACTACGACTACTACTACGACTACTACTACTACTACTACTACTACTACTACTACTACTACTCCTACTAATACTACTGTACTACTACTACTACTACTATTATTACTACTACTATACTACTACTATACTACTACTTTACTATCACTATACTACTACTACTACTACTACTGCTACTACTACTACTACTATTACTACTACTACTATTACTACTACTGTTATTATGACACAGACTAATATCAACATGCATTCTACGAATACTACGAACACTGTTACGAATAGTAGTCATGGCTATCATAATTCTCATACTAATGATTCTAAGCATCATTGTACTACAACTTATCATATTACTACTCGTAATTGTACTGTTCATACCACAATAGCAGTGACTTATATCAGTAATGACACTCATGATACTCATAATCATGTTGCTGCTATTACTAATTATATGAGTAGTACGAAAACGATGATTAGTAACAGGAGGAGGAGGAGGAGGAGGAGGGGGAGGAGGAGCGGGAGGGGGGGGGAGGAGGAGGAGGAGGAGAAGGAGGAAGAGGAGAGGAGGAGGAGGAGGAAGAGGAGGAGGAGGACGAGGAGGAGGAGGAGGAGGAGGACGCGGAAGACGACGAAGACGTCAACGAGGAGCACAAGGCCTCCGCTTCCTGTCGCGGAATTCGGGTAAGCGGTTCATGCCAGTCTCCTTCCCTCGCAGGCCCCACTGCGGTCTGGCGGGGCGCGCGTGTCGTGTTTCCGGGCGAGGATCGGAGGCTTCTGCTGATAGCCCTCCGATCCAGTTCGCCTCTGTTACGCGTCGAACCCCCCTCATCCTGATCCCCCGTCCACAATTATTCAATCTGAATACTACTCTCCCTCTTCCCCTGCTGACGGCTTGAAAGCGTTAGCCCCCCCCCCCCGCGTACTGTTTTTCACACACAGGATTCCCCGGAGTTGGGTTTTCGCTTGCATTTTTTTCCAAAATGCTGCTCTCGCTGAGGCGCCAGCCTCATTTTCGGGCCCCGCGCGTTCCGAATCGTGCTCCAGCTGCAGCGCTGGCCTCATTTCTGTGCTTCCGCTAGTTCCGAATCCGTGGCTCGCCAGCGCAAAAGAGACGCTTGGCCTCATTTCCGCGCTTCCGCTCGTATCGACACGGTGCTCACCGCTGCAACAGTGCTGGCGGTCATTTCCCGAGCCATGCCACGGCATGCAATGCAATGCAAGGTTGAAACAACGCTTTGCGGTGCTCTTCAACGCCCTGCCACGCCGTGCTCTACAATGCATCGCGTACCCTTTCGAGATCATTGCCCTGCTCGACATCCAACTGTGCGAGTAGAGAAGGGATCTACGCCATGGTAAGGGATGGGAGGGTGGGGTAGGATGTCAGATATGACGCGAGCGCACCTAGCTTGCCCTATCTCCTTCTCCTCCTCTCCCCTTCTGCGCCCCCCCTCTCTCGTCCTCCCCGCCTCCCCCCCTCCTGCCCTTCCTTCCCTCTCCCTTCTCCTCTCCCCTCCCCCTTCCCCTCCCCGTCTACCTCCTTCTTCCCTCGCCCCCGAAAAGGGAGTTTTTTGTCATCAATCGCTGCAGACCTTCAGCAAGAGGACCTTCCAGAGCCGAAATCCCCACAGCCCAGGGCGAGAGGCCGCTCTGGGCTGCTCGGGGCCAGTCGGCCCTGTCCGTCAGGAGTGCCAGCGCGAGGGCCTGGTGGCGCCTAGTCTCTTGAGCGGCCAAGAGGGTTGTGGATACCATGGCTGGGGACAAGAGACCTCCCCGAACTTCGCGGCCCCCTCCCTTTTGTTCAAGGCGCCCCCTGGTCCCCATCGACGCCGACGACGCCGAGGGCGCGCGGAGCCCTGCCTCGCAAGGCTGGCACGACCTGGCTTGGCGCTCCCCCTCCGTGCCCCTGCCGGCGGCGGGCGCCCGCAGCGGCGGGCGGCCCTCGTCCTCCTCCTCCTCCTCCTGCTCCTCCTCTGCGTCCTCCTCCCTCCTCCCTCCTCCCTCCTCCCTCCTCCCTCCTCTCTCCTCCCTCCCTCCTCCTCCCTTCCTCCCTCCTCCTCCTCTCCTCCTCCTTCCTCATCCTCTCCTCATCTCCTCCTCCCTCCTCCCCTCCTTCTCTCCCTCCCTCCTCCCTCCTCCCTCCTCCCTCCTCCCTCCTCCCTTCTCCCTCCTCCCCTCTCCTCCTCCTACCCTCCTCCTCTCCCCTCCCGTCCTCCCTGCCTCCTCCTCCTCCTCTCTTACCTCTCCTCCTCCCCTCATCTTCCCCTCCTCCTCCCCCTCCTCCTCCTCCTTCCCTTCCCGCTCCCCCGGCCCCTCCTCCATCCCCCCTCCTCCCTTTTCCTCCTCTCGGGCCCTCCATGGCCTACTTCATCTCCCCTACCCTCCTCCTAACACTGTGCTCCCTCCTCCTCCTCCCCCTCCCCTCCCCTTCCTCCCTCCCTCCTTTCGCCGCCTCGTTCTCCCCTCCCCTCCTCCTTTCCTCCTCCTCCTTCCTTCTTCTCCTCCTTCCTCTCTCCTCCTCTCCCCTCCTTCCTCCTCCCTTCCTTCGCCGGCCCCTCCTCCTCCTCCTCCTCCTCCTCCTCCTCTCCTCCTCGTCCCTCCTCCCCTCCTCTCCTCCTCCTCCTCCTCCTCTCCTCCCCCCTCCCTCCTCCTCCTCCTCCTTCCTCTCCTCCCCTCCTCCTCTTCCCCCTCCTCCCTTCCCTCCCCACCTCCCTCCCTCCCTCCCTCACTCCCCTCTCCTCCCTCCCTCCCTCCCTCCCTCCCTCCCTCCTCCCTCCCATCCCTCCCTCCCTCCCTCCCCCTCTCCCCCCCTCCTCCTTTTCCCTCCTCCTCCTCCTCCTCCTCCTCCTCCTCCTTTCCCTCCTCCCAGAATGGCGCTCTCGTCCCAGCGCGGACCATTTTTCTGGATTCCATTTCCATCGTTGTCGCCCCCCTCATTTCCCCTCCTCCGCCTTCCCCTGGTCCTCCTGCTTCTCCCGCTCCTTCCACTCCAACTCCTGCTGCTGCAGTACGTCCTCGTCCTCCCCCTTCCTCGTCCTCCTCCTCTTCCTCCTGCCCATCCTGCTGCTCATCCGCCTCCTCCTCATCCAATGTACGCAGCTCCTTATCTACTGACTGCGCTTGAAGCGAGGCTTTCCACTTTGAAGTTTCCTGTCCGCTATGGCATGCGTCGACGGATAGAGAAAACATCAGCGCAATGGGAAGGGATGGGAGGGAGGGACAGGATGTCAGACCTGCCTCCCCTGCCTCCTGCTCGCCATCCTCGTACGGATTCCCATCAACAGATTGTGCTGGACGACGACGCAGTGACGTGAATGACCTGGCTTGGACCACACACGCCGCAGACAACCCAGAGCAATCAAGAGCTTTGCAGGATCTTAGGGCTACGGCCCCACGCGCCCCGCCCCGAGAGGGCCCAGTCTTCTCGACCGCACGGCGTCTCGCGCTCTCGCTCTCGCGCGCCCGTCCTCCTCGTTGCATGAGTGCCTCCTCGTCCTCTTCGTCCTGCTCTTCTTCGCCCCCCTCGTCCTGCTGCATCGTGCTCCTGCCCCACAGGAATATCTGTACCTCAACAACCGCTCCTTCTGCGAGAGGCCCTGCCCCGCGCCGAAGATGAGCCTGGACGTGATCGCCAACCACTACCAGGCTCCGCGCTGTCCGCGAGCAGGAGGAGTATCGAGGAGGATGATGAGGAGGATGAGGAGGAGGAGGATGAGGATCGCTGAAGGTCGCTGATGAGGATGCTGCTGCTGCTGATGATGATGATGATGATAATACTGAGGATAATGCTGGTGCTGGGGGTGAGGAGGAGGATCATCGATGATGATGATGACGATGATGATGATGACGATGCTGCTGCTGATGATGTTTATGATGGTACTGATGCTGGTGATGATGATGATGTTAATGATGATGGTTACGACGAACATGAGGATGCTGATGATGATGATTCAGATGATGATGATGCGGATTCTGCTACTTCTGATGCTGATGCTGATGATGATGTCGATCGTGATGACGATGGCGATGCTGATGGTCAAGACGATGATGACGATCATGATAATGATGCTGATGATGATGATGATGATGACGATGACAATGATGATGACGATGTTGACGATGATCTTGATGATGCTGATGATAATGATGTTGATGATGATACTGCTGATGATGATGCTGATGGTGCCGATTCTGAGAATTATGACGATGGCGATGGTGACGAAGACGACGACTATGATGATGATTATGATGATGCTGGTGATGATGATGATGCTGATGCTGATGATGATGATCGTGATGATGACGATGATGATGATGATGATGATGATGATGATGATGATGATGGCGATGATGATGCTGATGATGATGAGGGTGATGATGATGAAGGTTATGTTGATGATGACCATGATCATGATGATGCTGCTGGTGCTGATTATGATGGTGATGATGACTTTAAGGATTGTGAGGATGATGAGGGTAATGATGAGGATGATCACGACGACGACAACGACGAGGACGACGATGATGATGATGATGATGATGATGATGATGATCATCATCATCATCACGATGATGACGATGATGCTGATGATGCTGTTGCCGATGTTGCTGATGATGATGATGATGCTGATGGTGATGGTGACGCTGATGCTGATGCTGCTGCTGATGATGATGGTGACGAAGACGACGACTATGATGATGACGATCACGACGATGATGCTGATGACGCTGCTGATGCTGATGATGCTGATGATGAAGCTGGTGATGATGATGATGATGATGATGATGCTGATGATGCTGATGATGCCGATGATGCTGGTGATGCTGATGATGATGAGGATTATGATGCTGATGCTGATGGTGGTGATGATGAGGATGATGAGGATGTCGCTGATGATGCTGCTAATGATGATGCTGCTGACGATGATGACGACGATGATGATCTTGATGATTCTGCTGATGATGATGCCAATGCTGCTGCTGCTGCTGATGATGATGATGATGATGATGATGATGACGCGGCTGATGATGATAAATCTTATGATGCTGATGCGGCTGCTGCTGCTGCTGATGATGATGATGACCGCGATGATGATGATGATGATGATGATGATGATGATGACGATGCTGCTGCTGATGATGATAATGATGAGGCTGACGATGATGAGGATTATGCGGATGATGCTGATGATGGTGATGATGACGATGGCGATGCTGATGGTCAAGACGATTATGACGATCATGATAATGCTGATGATGATGACGATGACGATGATGATGATGACGATATTAATGATGATCTCCATGGTGCTGATGATAATGATGGTGATGATGATGACGATGATGCTTATGATGATGTTGATGATGCTAATGCTGACGATGATGACGATGTCGACGAAGATGATGCTGCTGATGATGGCGATGTTGCTGATGATGATGAGGTTGATGATGCGGGTGATGATGATGGTGACGAGGGCGATGCTGATTCTGATTATGATGATGATGATCATGACGATGATGACGATGACGACGACGACGACGAGGATGATGATGATGATTATGATGATGATGATGATGATGATGATGATGATGATGTTGATGGTACTGCTGTTGATCATGCTGATGATGATGCTGCTGATGATGATGATGCTGATGCTGATGCAGATGCTGGTGCTGATGCTGAATATGATGATGACGATGATGCTGATGCTGATGCTGATGCGGCTGCTGATGATGATGCTGATGATGACGATGATGTTGATGATGATTCTGATGCTGATGATGGAGGTGGTGGTGGTGGTGGTGAGGAGGAGGAGAATGTGGAGGAGGAGGAGGAGGAGGATCGATGTGGAAGAGGAGGAGAACGAGGAAGATCGAGGAAGGGGCGCTGGATGAGTAGGAGTAGGAGGGGGAGGAGGAGGAGGAGGAGGTGGAGGAGGAGGAGGAGGAGGAGGAGGAGGGAGGAGGAGGAGAGGAGGAGAGGAGGAGGGAGGAGGAGGAGGAGGAGGAGGAGGAGGAGGAGGAGGAGGAGGAGGAGGACGAGGAGGAGGAGGAGGAGGAGGGGTCCGTAGCCATTTTGGCTCAAGTCCGTAGCTGTGGTGGCTCAGGGGCTTGACATTTGGCATGGGGGATCTCGTGGCGCCCGCAGCTTTCCCAGGCAGTCTCCCGCCTGGCATCCACATTCATAACGTCTCCAGTACAGCACTCCCGTGCTGCCGCACCCTCCTGGCCTTCGCAATGGCTCCTTCCCATTCTTTCTCGTATGCGCCCTGGGTCAAGCCTGACTTTGGGACATCGGAGTCGGCAGGGGAATGGACTACGAAGTGTGGAAGTAGGGGCAAGCAGCAGGCCACGGCTTTTGCTTGCCCAGCCTGCGGGTGTAAGATGAATCATCGCACAGCCATTTGGTGCAAGCGCTGCTCTGCTACTCTGCCTCGTCAGGATACTGCATCAGGTCGGGCTCCCAGTGGGCAGTGGGCGCAGTCAGGTCCGCCTGGGCAATGGCATGGCGCTGCTGGCTACAAGGGGTCTGGCAGTCACAAGGGCAAGGGCAAGGGCGCCAAGCTGGTTCCAGAACAACTTTGGCTCTCGCCGGCTCCAGGGTCGGAAGGGCAAGAGCAGACTGGAGGAGGTACCCCGCCGCTTCCCGCAGGACCAGTCCCATCTGTGTCTCTCTCCGAAGCGCAGCAGATGTCGGCGCTCTCCTTCAAGGCGGGGGACCAGAGAGGAGGGGCTTACTACGCTGACATCGCCAAGCACCTGGAGCACGCGGTGCGTGTGCCAGAGGTCAATATTCATCAGAAAGTGCAGCAGCAACACGTAGCAGTTCGAAGGCTGGAGAAAAACACGACACTGAGCTTGCGAAGCTTGGTAGATGGCGTGAAGAGGTTCTGGCATCCGAGCTGCAGGTCAAGACCACGGGAGAGGAGCTGGAGAAGACTGACAAGGAGTTCAAGGATGCAGTCAGCCTGCTCAAGTCGGAGTCGGCCCTTCCTGGTCCTGTCGCTGCTGCCACGCAGCCGATTAAGCTCGGGGAAATGCTGGACGGCTCCTTCGGCATGTCTGACTTGTTCCAGGTCGACTTCTTGGATGAACTGGGTGGCTTGGAGGATGGCGCAGTCACCGCCGAGGACCAAGCCTAGATTGCGAAGCGCACAGACACCCTCATCAAAGGAGTTCGCGATCTTGCCAAGCAGCTTGTTGACCAGATTTCGGAGCAGGCCATGCAGGCCAAGATCGCGCACGACAACCACAAGTTGCGCATGGCTGCCAAAGGTCGCCGCACTGGAGCAGATGGGGAAGGCGCTGCAGCAGGATGAAGTCTCTGCCGCTGCTGAACCAGGCGGCGCCGCCCCTGCAGCTTCTGAGCCCAGTGCCGCTGCGGGCGCTGGGGGCGCTCAGCAGACAGCAGCTTCAGGCTCGGATGTGCGCGCCCGTGCTGATGCCGCTCTGTCCTGTGCCCCCCCCCCCTCTGCTGGGGGGGGGGGCGAAGTGGCAGCATCAGCACCAGTGCGAGCCAGCTCCGTGCCCTCTTTTTTTTTGTCGCCAGCGGGATGTCTCCTGCTGGCTCTTCCGCTCGTGCTTCAGGGGTCTGACTTTTTAGGGGGTTCGTGAAGCTTTAGGCCCCGCCCCCTTCGTTTTTTTGGTGTGCGTGTGTGTGTGTGTGTGTGTTTTTGTGTGTGTGTGTGTGTGTGTGTGTGTGTTTCTCTTCCTCTTCCTCTTATTATTCTTCTTTTTCCTTCTCATGCGCCGTTTTCCCCCGGTGAAACTGGCGCGCCCCCGGGGTCCCGAGATGGCGATCCCCGCCCCTCCCCGCCCCCTAGGGCAGCTGTTCAGATGCAGAGCTTGGATCGCGCTGCCGCGGCAGCAGATGCGCGCGTGGCCGCGCTTCGAAGTTTTTGCCGAGCCAAGCTCGGTCGGAGCTTTTCGTCTTGAGGGCGGGGCCACAGGTGGATCAGCTCCCGCCCGTGCGCGCCCAGTGGCATCTGGCAGTGATCCTGAATGCGCAGCCCTTGAAGAATGGCTCTGCGTCACGACCGTCAACGCCAACAGTTGGCGCGCGCTGAGATCTTTTCCAGGGCCCACGGAAGCCCATGTCGTTCTGGCCCAGGGGCGCGCCGGCTGAGGCGGAAGTCCGAGCTCGATCAGGCCTCGGAGATCGCCAAGTTCTTGGGATGGAAGTCATTGTGGGCCCCTGGACTTGTTGGTGATGGAGGGGGCGCATCATCTGGAGTGTGCGTTCTTGTGAAGGACGCCTTCGGCTTCTGTGTTCGACGGGTCGGCGCGTGCTGGTCGATGGCAGGGCCGCCGCAGTCATGGCGCGCGTGCCTGGCTGTGCGGTGTTCTGCGTCGTCTCGCTCTAATTGGTCCACAGCGAAGGTCTTTCGGAAACTAGTATGGGGGCCCTGAAAACCAATGGGGAGTTATTGGAGCACGTGGAATGTGAGTTCATCGTTGGCGGTGGTTGGAATCTTGGCCCAGAGATCCTGGATTCTTGTGGGTTCACGGGGCTCCTGCATGGCGCCCTGGTGGCCACGGAAGGTCACGCCCGCTTTCCGAGCTCGGGGGGCCCAGATCGCGTTGATTACTTTGTGGTTTCGCATAGCCTTAGTCTGTGTAAAAAATCGGTCGGCGTTGTTGGGGAC